TAAAAATATCAAATAAATTCTAAAAAATGTAAAACTTTAGGGAATGATTGTAGACATGATAATAAACTTGGCTAAGAATTCCATATTTTATTCTAGAACGAAGCACATTGGGCTTCGGTACCACTTCATCAGATCCATGTTAGAACATGACGTGTTGAAACTAGAGAAAATTCTAGGAAGTAAGAATCTAGCAGATATGTTAACAAAGACGGTGACCGTTCATAAACTGGAGTTGTGCGCAACTTTAGTTGGCCTTCATGCATAGGTGATGAGGGAGGAGCCACACAGAGGAGATGCTTATTAAGATAACCTGCTAACGGCGGTTTGGTCTCCAAGTGGGAGATTGTTGGACTTGGGTGTGAATCCAAACCTGATGTAGGCAAGATCCGGCGAACTCGAGGTTGACCTTGAGGCTGACGAGCTTGAGGACTTCGGGCGAAGTCAAGCTCAAAGTGGACGAAGTTCTAGTGAAGAACGAGGTTGAAGCTCGGGAGAAGTCGAGCTTTGAACGAGGCTGAGCTCGCACGAACACGAGGTTCGTGTGAGAACGAGGTTCGAGCACTGGGGGTCGGATGAGGTTGAGTTCAAGCTGCGGACGAGGTTCGAGCAGGCGACGCTTTAGCACTGAGCTACGGACGAGGTTCGAGTTTCGAACGAAGTTCGTGCCCGCAGTCGAACTTCAACTCCAGGCGAGGTTCGTGCCCGCAGTTAAAGGCGATGTCCGTGCGTTCGTGGGCTGGTGATAGCCTGTTGCCAGTAAGACCCTAGGGTTTTCCTATAAAAGGGAAACCCGGATCTCGAGGTCGGTATGCGAGCTATGTGCGCCTCCACCTCCTCCTCCTTCTTCTTCTTCTTCTTCCTCTCTCTCTCTCTCTCTCTCTCTCTATCTTGATCATCTTTTTCAGCGGCGGGTTTCAAAATCCCAGCAGCGATGTTTCGTGGATTTAATTCCCATATCTCAGATTTGAGTGGGGATTAAAGGAGTGCTTAGAGAGAAATTGAACATTGTAGCTACAGTGTTATTGTTGCAATTTGATCAGTTTGAGATTGGTTCTAAGCATTGTAATTTCTTGTTAATTAATAAGAAATAATTGTGTGGCTCCCGAGAACGTAGGCAGTTGCCGAACCTTATTAAATCTTGGTGTACTTTCTTCTATACCGCGGTTTTGCTGTTTTAGGGTTTTTGCGGTAAATACCCAACATAGAGGTCGGCTGTTTTCGGGGGGTTTTACCGCTAGGAAGAGAGGATCATCTGCGCCAGGGTGATAGGCGGGTCCTCAATCTTCTAGGTCTCGATCAGGCCAGACTTTCTTATTATTTTACTTCAAATTTACTTTACATGTTATAACCTTTGATTTGATAAATTTCCAATAAGTAGTCCATATTTTGTGAACTTCGACATGTTAAATGTACTTATAATAGAGCTACGCATTGTTTAGCGCAACATGCTTTATTAGTTTTGATATAGTCGTGTCGCTTGAAGAATTGCCACCATTTATTCATTCCATTGTAATAAATGATTATCAAATGAATAAAGAGCTTTGCTACAGGGACCCGAAATATGGGACCAATAAGGAGGACAAGTGAGGTGGCCTCATCCTATTGGATAATGAGTTGGCCATCATTAATGATGTCCAACTCATTATCCAATAGGAGGGGGACACCTCACTTGTCCCCTCTATTGGTCCCATATTTTGGGTCATTGAAGAATTTTTCATGAATAAAATTTTGTGCTGAACTCTTTCCTCGTCGGGATTTACCCCCTTGGGTTTTCTTGACAAAGTTTTAACAAGGCGGCACATCATCTTTTCCATTAAAAAAAGATACAAAATCACATTGGTCCCATTTTCCAAGTATATGTACACCAATATATATATTCTTGAAATCCTGGGCATGCATTTATTAATAAATTCAAGATAATATATGATTTACATGAAGGATTTCCTTAATTTTACTTGAAATAGTCCAAAATTTTCATGCTTGATCCTCGTGTATTTCTACAAGCCTTTCTTAGACGATGAGAATAACATCAAGCAATAAGATGCATCATCTTATGAATGTCTCTCATTGGTTTTAACCTTTCATTTATGTCATTTACACCTTCATTTTAGGGCATTACATCGATTTAATTCCAGTATAATATATCATAATCACGGGCACTAAAAATTATGAGTAAATATAAATAACACTATCTAGGATTGGCGAACACTGTTGAAGAAGCTCAGGAAAAACAGTCTGAAAACTAGTCGGTCGACCGCCGAAGTGTCGACCACGAGGACTTCGACGGTCGACCGGAAATGTGCACAAGATCGAAGCAGGTTTCTGGAATTAGGACTGTAGACCGTCACAGTTAACCTCCAGGGGACCTGTAGGATTCTGGGTCTCTGGATTTGGTTCGGTCGACTGCCGCGGTCATCAAATTCATTGCAAAATTTGTTTCTAGATAATCTAAATCATTTTACATTTGTACATCTTTTAATGGTGCACGTTTATAATTCGGGTATTTTAACATCCAAGTCTCACATTTGAACCGATACTATACATTAATCAAATTTGATCATAAAGCAACCATATGTCTAACTTTATACATTTCTTTTTGAAGTGTGCAAGTCAAACACTGTACACAATACACATGCTTCGTTTCATGCACCTACAGCTGCACGCTAGCCAAGTAGAGCTTCATCAAGACAGAATGCCAAAAACAAAGAGTAAGAATATAGAGGTCTCTGATTGAAATTTTGGAGGTTCTTTTACGGTGCACGTTAGCGGGCGATTCTTTCGTTGCTAACGTGTGCCCCCGCCGTGATTCTTGATGGGAAAAAAGAAGAGAAAAAGTGAGAGCAAGATCTTTAGTATTGGATTAAGATCTTTGAATTCTGATCTTGTTACTCCTAAGGATCAATCTGATACCAGTTTCGTTGAAGATGATGAAGAATCTGATCTCAATGCTATGGGGTCAACGGGACCAAAGGGGGAGAAATTGAGGAAATCTATGGCGGAAATCTTATCTTCAAGCTCCAATTCTCTTCCTCTGAGCTCTCCTCCGGTGGCTGGGGTTAAATCTCGTTTACTCTGTAAGTCTCTGCACTCTGAATCTCATAGATCTGATAGTCTTTCTTGGGCTGATGCTAAAGATTCTGAGGAATTCCTTTTATCTCAACATCTTTCTGCTAAATCTTCAAGAATCTTGGATTCAAATACAATACCTGATCCAGGAAAAACTTTTCCTGTTGAGAAATTATCTGATGTAGTTTCTTCAGATGATCAAAATGAGTCAAAAAATGAAAATACAAATGGAGTTTCTCTGGATTTTCCTCCTCTAGAGTCTGGCAAAGTCTTGAAAAATACGATCCCTGCTAGCAGTAATGCAAAGAAAAGCTGGATTAGTTTCTTTTCTGACAATAGAAAGCTTGGTTGTGGTCTTGATTTGAATTATGTTCCCCCAAATGAAAAAGATACAGTGTTTTTTGAGGAGGATGAATGGTATGAAGGTGCATCTATTTGGGATTCTGCACTTATTGGTCAAGTACTGGGGATATATATCAAGTTTAAGGCTATGGAATCTTTTGTTCAAAAGGTTTGGTCACATTTGGCTTTACCTGAGATCTGCATTCTTAAGCCAGGACTATTTTTATACAAATTTAAAAGCAAAGAAGATATGAGGATTATTCTGGAAAGTGGTCCTTGGTTCTTTGGATCTAGACCCCTTCTCCTTAAACCATGGTCGATTGATGAAGAAATAGGTAAAAGAAATGACTGCTTGTATCCAATGTGGATTCAGTTTCCAGGTCTAAGACTGAACTTGTGGAATGCAAAATGTATCAGTAAAATAGCAAGTCTTATTGGCAAACCTATTGCCACTGATAAGCTTACTGCAAGCAGACAGACGCTAGAATATGTTAGAGTTCTTGTTGAGGTTAATATGTCATCTCCTCTTCCAGATCATATCTCCATTCAGGGGCCAAAAGGGGAAAATATTACTCAGAAGGTAATCTATGAATTAAAACCTAGATGGTGTGATTTTTGTAAACAAGTGGGACATGAAACAAGCTATTGCAAGAGGAAAACTGGAATACAAAGATGGGTCCCTAAAAGCAAAGTTGTTTCCAAAGATAAAAATAAGCTTGAGAACAACTTGAACCCACTTGATGTTCATGATATTGCTCAAAAAAAGGCTGTTGATAAAGGAAAAGAAATCATTCAAGATTCTGCAAGTTATGATGACTGTATAAATGATTTTCAGACTGAAAGGACCCCTGTGCATGTTGTACATGATAAGAGCCTGAATGAGCATAGCAGCAGGTTTGTACAGTCTGGTGTAAAATTGACTGAAAAAGAACCTATCTATATACAACAAGCTCATATGGTGCATATTCTAGGGAATGGAGTTGATATACAATAAATAAGCAACAAGATTGGTTTGCTGCAGGCTGTGCATGTTGATGAATGTGCACAAAAACCTGAATCTGGTTCAAAGCAAGTACTTGGTTCTGGGAAAAATGCTGATAATTCTTGGATACTTGTTCAAGGCTCCAGAACAAAAAAAAACGCATCTCCATTAGTATCCAGTTGCTCAGATATTGATCCCTCTGTAATTGATAGAGGGGGGGCTATCCTAGATGAATTTGACTTTTTGGAACATTAGGGGATTGAATAAATCCTCTAAACAGCTCTTGGTCAATAAATTTTTGTTACAATATCATATTTCTTTCATAGCTCTCCTGGAAACCAAAATCAAAGAATCAAAATTATCAAATTCTGTCAAGAGGATTACAAATGACTGGAAATGGTTATCAAATGTCAGGAACTCCTCTAAAGCTAGGATTCTTATTCTGTGGGATCCTAGAATTCTGGATACTCAGATTGTAAATATTTCAGACCAGCAAATTACTTGTGCAGTTAAATCATTTGATGGGAGGCTGGATTGTGTCATCTCATCTGTATATGGTTTCAATCAGATGGAGGGTAGAAAAGAATTATGGGCAGATTTAATTCATATTCAGAAATCAATAGGAAATGTTCCCTGGCTCATCTGTGGGGACTTTAATGCAATGACTGATAAAGATGATAAGCTTGGTGGTGTAGTCCTCTCTGACTCAGATACCAGGGACTTCAGCAATTGCATTGCAGACTGTCACCTAAACCACATGAAAACACTAGGCTGTTTCTATACCTGGAATAACAAGCAAGAAGTAGAAACAAGAGTATGGAGCAGACTGGATAGAGCTCTAATAAATGATCAATGGATTTCTGCCTATAATTCAAGTTATGCAGAATATTTGTTACCTCAATTTTCAGACCATTCCCCAGGCCTGATTTCTATCTATGAGGACTGTTTACAAGGGAAAAAACCATTCAAATTCTTCAAGATGTGGACCAAACATGCTGATTATTTGCCTACTGTTTCTGATATTTGGAAAACAGATATTCAAGGGTGTGCAATGTACTCTGTTTACACCAAACTCAAAAAGCTGAAGGAAGCTTTGAAAATACTAAACAAGAGACATTTTCACAATATTAGTGAACAGGTTCAAAGAGCAAAAATAGTCTTGGAAGATACTCAGAGCAAACTTCAAAATAACCCTCTAGACACTATACTCATCAGTAGAGAAAAAGAAAATCTTTCTTCTTATAACAAGTTGCTAGACTGTGAAGAATCATTCTATCAGCAAAAAGCTAGAATAGCTTGGAGTGTGCATGGTGACAGAAGCACAAGTTATTTTCATTCTACTGTCAAAAGGAACAGACATAACAACAATGTGGGTGTTCTTTATAACAGTAGAGGGGACAGGATTACTGATGGGGGGGAGATTGTTACTGAGCTTATTTCTTTCTTTACTAATCTGTTGGGCACTTCTGTTGCTACTTCTCCCCCAGACAAGAACATTATCAAATCTGGTCCTTGTCTGTCTGAAGCTCAAATCAGGGATTTATCAAAACCAGTATCTATAGAGGAAATTAAAGAGGCTATCTTCTCCATGTCTGATAACAAAGCTCCAGGGCCTGATGGATACAGTGCTTCTTTCTTCAAAACAGCTTGGCCTGTCATTGGTGAAGATATTTTAAAATCTGTAAGGGATTTCTTTAGGAATGGTAAGTTACTGTGCTCTATAAATTCCACTGCTATTACCTTGGTTCCTAAGGTTCAATGCCCAAAAACTCCTGCTGATTTCAGGCCTATTGCTTGCTGTAATTGCTTATACAAATTCATTTCTAAAGTCCTAGCTAATAGGATAAAATCAGTCATAGGCTACCTAGTGGATGAAGCACAAAGTGCCTTTACCAAAGGCAGACAGATCTTTAGCAATATATCTCTTGCGCATGAACTTGTTAAAAACTATAAAAGGAAACATATATCACCAAGAGTTATGCTCTGGGTTTTACTGAAGGAATTTTGCCAATCAAATACCTGGGGGTTCCCCTCATTTCTAGGAGATTATCTTTCCTGGACTGTGAGCCTCTCTTCTCAAAAATAACTAATCAATTACAGAGTTGGATGAAATATAGGAACCTCTCATATGCGGGCAGGCTACAGATTATTAAAAGTGTCATTTTGGGAATCCAAATCTATTGGACATCTGCCTATATACTCCCAATAAGTGTCCTGCATAAGATTGATGAAATGTGTAGAAACTTTCTATGGGGAAAAACAAACCAAGCTCACAAAAAGCCACCACTAGTTTTATGGGAAAAAGTCTGTCAGGGTAAAAGCAGAGGTGGCCTGGGCATTTTTTCTGCTGTACATTGGAACTTTGCTTCAGCTGTTAGAACAATTTGGTATATTCATGAAAACAAAGAATCACTTTGGATTAAATGGGTTCATGAGAGCTATCTCAAATAAGGTAATATCTGGCAAATTTGTGCTAAGAGGAGTGATTCTTGGTTATGGAGGCAACTGTTGAAAATGAGAGACAAAGCTATTGTCTTTTGTGGAGGAGTTGGTAAACTGAAAGAACTCATTATCTCTTGCTGCCAGGGATCAAAAATTAAACTCTCTGCTCTATATGAAGCTCTTGCCCCTGCTGCCAGTAAGGTTCAGTGGTACAAAACAATTTGGGATGATTTATCTATCCCTAAACATTCATTTATCCACTGGTTAGCAGTTCAGAACAAACTGCTAACTCAAGACAGACTTATGAAG